ACATACATATCTTAAACTAATAATCTCTTCTCTGACTTTACTTTCTCATTCTCTGCTACTTAAGTACAAATATTCTTATCCCTTATTTGCTAAAACTACTTTCTCAGAGTTTATCCAGTGAGGCAGTGTGAGGTGGTTAGGAGTACAGACTGCCTGCTTGCATCTTTATTTCACAACTCTTTTATACTCTGGGACCTTGGAGAAAAGTTACCTGTTATGGTTTGTGTTGTCTAGAAGTTCCCCCAAGCCTCATGCAGTCATAGGTGGGGCTTTTCAGAGGTTGCGGTTCTAGAGTGTGTGATGCTGGGTCAGTGGGTGTGTGGTTACTAAATTAGTCCACTGATTGGTTTAGCATAGTTCTAGGTGTGCATAATGGTGTGAATGCTGTCCAACTTAAGGACATGTAACCTGGATAGAACATAAGGGACAGAAAGAGGGCTGCTGTCATCACTTGCTGCTTCTTCAATACTTCACCATTTTGCTGCTTTCTGCCCACCATCAACAGTTTCTCCTTTATGGTAACACCCTGCCTTGGATACAGCTAACTATGAACTGAAACCTCTACAAACTGAGAGGTACAATAAACCTTTGCTCCTATAACTTTGGGTGATGTGTATTTTGTCTCAGCAATGAGAAAAGTAGCTAAAGCATTGCCTAATGTTACTACAGCTCAATTTCCTCCTTTTCAGAATGAGGATTGTTGTGTGGATTAAATGACTTAATATATGTACACAAAAACAATTAAATGTTAGTTGGTGTCATCACTCTTATTATTTCACTTGACATTTGCAGTTCTAACACTCTGACACTATTGATGACCTTTATTATCTATATTAGAAATCAGAGTATATATATCTTTAATTTTAAATTTCTAGTTGATGTCTTATGAAATTGAAATGAAGAGGACAACACCTTAGCAATTTAAATCGACAGACATTAAAATTATTTGTTCTTTCACAGCTTGCCCAGAGATAAATTCAGGAAATTCTTATTTGAGAAAAAAAAAATACTTGTGCAGAAGATGGAAAAATAACCTCAGTCAAAATAAAGTGGAAACACAGAAAATGATTCACAGGCTACCACATGACTTGCAAGTCTGCAAAAATTGTTAAAAAGTTATATAAGCAGCAGATAAAGGTACAAGATCCCGATAATGAATATAACTGTACTGTATACCTAAAATGTACCAATAAACTCAATAAAAGAAAAAAATAAAATAAGTAAATAAGCAGCAGGTAAATAATAAGCAGGTAAAGCAGTGTCATACAGAGAGAGAGAGAGAGAGAGAGAGAGAGAATAACCTGAGAGTGTATTTTTGTAACAATAGCTGTTTCAGCCAATTGTAAAAGTCAATCACAGGCAGCCAGCTGGTTATACCATGCCCAAATAAGGCAAATGCCTAGCTACAGCAAATCAGGTGATTTCTCTACTTTGCTTTTGGCACCTTTGTTTGTGTGTGTGTGTGTGTGTGTGTTTATTTGTTTGGGTGGCGTTGGTACCAGGGATTGAACTCGGGTCTTTGCATTTGTGAACTCTGCTTTGCTTCTGTTTTGAGCCTATAAATCTTGCAGCTCTTGCTGCTAGGTAGAGCTCATGATGCTGGGTATTTCTGGCTCATAATGCTGCCTGATTTAATGATGAATTGCTCTTTTCTCAAATAAAATAATTTGTGTGAAGTTTTTTATTAGCACAGTATTCAAATTAAGTTATGTGAACATACTTTGTAACTACAAAGTGGTTATCAGCTTTTTTCTTTTCCTTTTCTTTTTTTTTTTTTTTTTTTTTTTTTTTTTGGTACTAGGGATCGAACTTGGGTCTTTGCGCTTGTGAGGCAGGTGGCAGAACCACTGAGCTAAATCTCCAGCCCTATTAGCTTCTTTCGTAAATAAAGTATAATTAGCAATTTATGAGGTCACCAGTTAATGAACTTGAGTATCTAGTAGCAATCACATGTTTAACAAGTTTGAAGCCTAACTTATTTTCCTTCTTCCATCCCTGTACTCATTCTTTCCAATTTTCTTAAATAGAATATTTCTTTAAGCAGTTTTTCCAGCCCTATATCTGACAATCATATTTGACCTTTATCCCCATATGCACACTCACTGCAATCATCTATCAACACATCTCAGTAGCACAGGGTTCAAATTTTAAACACTGTTTGCTACCACTTTCACTAGCATTGTAGTCCAAGTCTCTGTCACCTTTCTCCTAACCTGCTATGATAATCTAACTATCCTTGTTGTTTCTGGTCTTGCCCTCTATAGTCTAGTTTTCCTACAGTAGTTACAATGATCCTTTTTAAAGGTTAAATGAGAATGTCTAAACTCAAAACTCTCCAGTAATTTTCCCTCCATTAGAAGTTGAATTATATATTAAGTCCTTAGTTATCTTTTAAGTCCCCACTGAACTGGGGCATATACTTCTTCAGTCTCAGATATTAGCATACTTCTCCTACCTAGTTCTTCTATAGATAAAGTGGTCTTGATGTTAATAGATCAATATGATTTTATTCTCAGAGCCTTTTGTACTTATAACTTTTATCCCTGTCATATTCTTCATCTAGATATTTAAATGGCAATCTCTTTTCTTTCATTCAGACCTCTGACCTAATTTTCCTTCCAAGGGACCTTCCCTAAGTATTCTATCTAAAATAGAACTGACATCAATTTCTATCCCCCACACTATCCATTTTTTTCCTTATAGCACCTTTTAGTACATAAAGTATCCTTTTGGAAAAGAGAAATAAATATGTTTTATGACTATAAGGCTTTGAATTTTTTATTCATTATCATATCCCACTATCTGCAAAGTTCTTGGCATACAATAAGAATTGTAAAGTATGGAAGAATTAAGCATTATAGGGCTGGCAATAGTACTTGTCTAGCATATTCCATGCTGTAAATTCAATCCCTAGTACAACAAAAGATAATTTTATATTAAATTCTGATGTCACTTCTGACAAAATAGAGATTTTACTGTGTTCTCAATTGCTTTAACATTTGCTTTTCCTTTCAAACATAAAGTGTATAAAATCCTCTTTAGCATTCTATTATCAAAATATATTTACAGGAAGCCTCAGTTTTGTAGAATTCAGGATTATTCAATTTAAGTAGAATGTGGAAAATCTGCTTAATATTTTGAAGACAGAATTTTTAAAAATTTCTAAACTGTGATCTTAAATTTGGCAATCTTAAGTGTAAGATTTACTTTCTTCTTAGTTTATTATCATAAAGCAGCACTTAAGTGAATAATGATTACATATGCAAGCATTTGTAAGTAACTGAGAAAGAAAACAGAGGATTCCACTTAGTGGTAAATAACATTCCATGCAACAAAGCAATAATGTGTCTAAGAGTCGCAAGTCACCAAATTTATAAGAGAAATAGCTAAACTTTCAGGAAAACTGAAATGTCTATATACCTCAAACAACCATCAACTTCTCACTTTTATTTGAACTTTACACTGCCCTACTTTGTTTCCTGTCAAATCATGCCTGGAGAAAGTTGTAATGATAGCAGTGGGAATAAAATCAAGGCCAATTTCTGTGGCTAGGCCAGTTAAAAACTTGCCAAGATAGCTAACTGTCCAAGTGTACACATTTAAGCCTTTCTCTGTTATGATGATATATTTTATCCTTGTGCATGGTTTTGAATGGGACTTAAGCACTTTGTGAAAAACTGGATTTGGTGTGGTATTTTAAAATCTTACTCCCCGGAACACATTCCAACTTGAATCATTATATCCAAGTCTGCAAAAACTCTGTTTTTAATAATTTCAGAAAAGGTTTATAATTTAAAGTCTGAAAAGTAAGAAACTGATTCACAAAGGCAGAGACATTCAAATGGTGAGTGAGCGATCTTTATTTGGTCTGCACAGTTCTGCTTCCAATCTGGGAGTTTTTCCAAAACTAAAAAATAAAAACTGGCTAGATTACAGTCTAAATGTATTTGTATTTTTAGACTGGGCTCCAACAAGAAGTCTCAATCTTTTCCCAAATTTTCACTTGCATAGCCATTAAATTAGTGGCTCAAAACTCCTCATTATTTTCCATACCCCCCTGAAACAATTTCACTGTGATGATCTCTTCTGGCATATCTTCCCAGGAGATTACTAGGTTAAATTTGGACTTCTTTTCAGGCCGCTTTGCTGTGATGGTCCATTTCCAGAATCTGGCACCAAGGCAAGGAGCATTTGGAGCATTGAATAGAAGACTTCATAAGTAGGGCAATGGAGAGGGAATCGCAGAAGCATTTTGGAATGGGTGAGATAACGTAGGGAAGGAAAATTTCACTTCAAGATGCTTTTTTTAGAGATGGTGTTTGAGACAGTGATACCCCAAGTCTCACAACTTAAAATCCCAAAAGATTCCATATTAAATCCAACCCCAAATTATTCCCCAAAATACACATTTCAGAATCTGACAGTGGCATTTTCCCGTATCTGGGGATTTTCCACCTCACTGTCTTTGATCATTCTCAATACCCTCACGAAAACACCCTCATAAAAAGAGAGGGAGGACCAAATGAAACTAACGAAGGATCCAGCCGTCATCTAGGGCAACCACGCGGGTCCCTGGAGAGGCCGGGTTGCTGCCTCCTGAGCAGCGCAGATGGGAGCGCGCTGGGCCTCCAGCGCTTCCTATTGGCTGTTTGGGGCACGCGCCCCGCCCTGCCCTCCCAGGTTTCCGTCGCGAAGGACGCGGCGTCCGTTGGTTGTCAGGCTGTTGTTGTCAGGTTGTTGGCTGCGGCGAGGTCGCTTCCGCCACCTCTGCTATTTCGGGTCAAGGTAGCAGCCGTCGCAGCTGCGGTCGCCACCACAGTCACCAGCTTCGCTGTGTGTGAGCCAGGGCTCCAGCGGGCGACTCCTCAGCGCCTGTGACGGGAGGCCTGAGAGACGGGGTGTGGGGAGAGGACGAACTGAGGAGGAGGAGGCCGGCGCGGCTATGAGGGAGGCGCAGGGGCGAGCCGGGAGGCGGCTCTAAGGTGAAAGATGCTGGCGGGGAGGCCGGGAGCCCAGAGCGCGGACCCCGGCCTGGGCCCTGAATCCGCGGACATCCTCGGCAGAGCCCCCCTCACCCTTCGGGAGAGCGGCGGGCGTCACCGACCCGGCGCTTACTTGTATCCTTCCCAGCCTGTGGCCGCCGCCCGGGGTGGCAGTGTTCCAAGTGGGGCTTGTTTTATGGTCTGGTTTTTGTTTTGTTTGTTTTGTTGTGTTTTTCCCTTAAATTCCCATTGCTGCTAACGCAACGTGATCCAAACGAGCAAGTGATCCTCATGCGGGTATTTGCTTTAGCAACTATCATTTTTTTCAGTTTGGTCCTAGATGATACCATTTTATTCCTGTGGCTCCTTCTTCCCCCGCCACCCTGTTATCCCACCCCGTGTCTCCAACTTCGTTGTCAGTTTTTCATAGATTTTTAAAATAAATATGTATTCTGTGGGGAGGATTTTTTGCCCTCTAGAATTATGCCATTCCCTGCTTGTATATTTGCCACTTTCTGATTAATCATGCTACTTAGAGAAATTGTACAAATAAAATATTTTGCTAGTCTGAAGATCTGTTTTAACAGTCTAGCACATCCCTGATGCATTTACCAGAGCTGCTAAGCCCTACCACAATTTGGTCATTTGTTTTGTTTTCCATCTCTACCCAGTCCGTTGTCAGAGGGACAGCAGAGAGGAAATGAACCTTCATGGTTTGAATTATTTCTCATTTTTCTTTAAGAATTGGTTGAGCCTACCTTTAATATTGCTGTTGATTATACTGTAGAAAATTGAGAGAGTGAAATGGTCTTTTTTTTCAAAATGTATGAATCATGTTTATTCTTTCATACTATGTTATAATAATTAGAATTTAACCTTTGCATTCTCAAAGGACTTTGGCAGTGATGGTGCTGCGTAATTATCTTAAAGGAGTGTCTTCTCTTTCCAAGTTAACCTTCCCACCCCACCCCCATTCCATCCTGGTTTTCTTACCCCATTGTCTCCAACTTCTGGGATAATTTTTATATTATGAATTTAACAGCAAACCATCAATTTCTACTGAGTTTCAGCTCTTTGGTAAGCTGTAGTGTAGGTTCTAGGGACACAGATCCACTGAAAAAGGCAGGTCTGTACAGACCTTCCCCTCTCCTCTAATGTTTTCTTCAAGCTTCCATCCCTTCTTTTATTTCTTTGGCCAAGTTCTCAAAGCAGTTATCTGCAATAGCAGCTTCTACCTCCTCTCATCTATTCATCATTGAGCTGGTTCCATTTGTTTTACTATACTTGGTTACTTTTAAGTAACCAAGTTTTAAGTGATTTCAATAAAAGACCTAAAGTGATTGATAAAATCCAACCACTTTTGCTTATATGTATGGGTGCATCTGTGTGTGGGTGTTTGGTGGCTTATATATGTTTTGCTAGCATTACATATATAATTTTGTGTAATATGTATTTTAATTGTTATAAAGAGAATTTGGACATAATAAAATGTAGCACTAAATCACTTCTTGGCCTTTTGACCAAGATCCAGTTTAAGAATATTTTTCACCTAAAGAAACAGTAAAGCACCTTATATAAGTTTTTTGGGGGGTAAGTATTATGGATGTTCTAAGTTTCTGTAGTGTTTCCATTGAATTCCTAGTGCAGAGAAGATGCTCACGTTTACGAAGTGAATGACTAAATGGAACAAAAAAGAAAACAAGTGAAAGAATCAGAGCCTTTTAAAAAGCATGTCTTGAGCCGGGCGTGGTGGCACATGCCTGTAATCCCAGCACTCAGGAGGCTGAGGCAAGATCACTGTTAGTTCAGACCAACCTGGGCTACATAGTGAGTTCCAGGTCAGTCTCAACTACCTAGTGAGACCCTGTCTCAAACAAACAAAAAAAAAAAAAAAAAAGCATGTCTTGATAAAAATTTTAATTGTAATCTCCAAATGTGAGTGCAATACTTAGGAGAAGCCATCCAACTTTTTGTTGAAGATATTTTATAACTACAGTTAGAATTTCTTAGTTGTAAAGGCTGTAAAAAATACAACTTTATAAAGTTATCTGATCAAATTAACTGAATTTCTACACTTCAGTCTCTTAAGAGTCCAAATAGAAATAATTTGTTAATCCCAGCATTTGGGAGGCTGAGGAAGGAGGATCACTGGGAGTTCAAGACCAGCCTGGGCTACATAGTGAGTTCCAGGTCAGTCTCAACTACATAGTGAGACCCTGTCTCAAAAAAAAAAAAAAAAGAAAGAAAGTTTGTTAAGAAAAAGAAGAGCTCTTATAGTATGCCTTTTTCTCACAAATATCCTGATTTAGACCCATTTTATCTTAACACCTTGCCTCTCTTTCTTACCCATTTTATACCCAATTACTTTTTATTTAGACATATTCTCTCACCAACAGCCTTGGGTCTTCATACCCCTATTCTGCTTCAACCACCCAGAAGCTAGTATTGTCCCCCTTCTCTACTCTTCCATGTCAAAAATAAAAATGTTGGCAGAGAAAATCACAAGACAATACAGATGGTACCACAAAAGAGTCCCAGCTTCATTTAAACAGGAATAGGGTAATCACTTCTTGCTGCCTATGCCCAACGCCATTCTCAGTAGATTGTTTTACCACTTAATAAAATATAGATGCTATGAATTCCCTCAGGTCCCTACCAACAAACAATACAAATGCATACACTTTCATCCACTTGTTCCCCCACCCCCCAGGTTCACTGATCAAATACCACTTTTACTTTAGAAAATGAATCCACCAAAAAAAAAAAAAAAAAAAAAAAAAAAAAAAAGAAACCTGCCCTCTCCCACAGCTACATAGCCGCGACTGCTCACTGAAAGAAAATGAACACCAATGTATATCCTTATTTCTGTCTATTTTCTTTTCCCTCAGTGGCTCCAGAATATAAACTTTTCCACCTCTCTTATAATTAACTTTCAATTTCTCTTCATGGCCTTCTTTTTCCTTAGCCTACAAATGTGTTCAGTTCTTAAAAATCCTTAAAATTAGGTATACTAACAAATCCTTTGATCAAAGATCCTTTTAACTGTATTCTGACATTATCTGTTTCTTATTCAGAACTCTAAAAATGAATAGTCCATATTCAATATCTCTATCAAGTCGTATTTTATTCTACATTCCAAAATTAAATTTGAGCAGCAGAGAAGGATGCAAATAAACGTAAAATTCTAAAAGAAAACTGACAAAAAACAGTTCCTCATTTTTCTTTGTTTGAATATATAGTAACTTTACCTTTTAAAGAAAAGTAATTTCCAAGAAAAAATATTCAAAGGTAACATTAATTTAAAACTTTAAGGAGAAATTGTATAATTAAATAAAACTTGAAATATCATGAGAAAATACTAACATTAATTGATAGAGTTAATATCTACATTATCCTACTTCTATTGAACTTCCTGAAATTGATTTTTTAGAATTGATTTTTTTAGAAATCAATTTCTCAGTAGATAAATGGCCATTGACCTAAAGTAATGATTTTTCAAAGAAGAAAATTAAAATTAGCACTTAACATAGAAAGTATTCTAGTTTGCTAATGCTCACATAATAAAACATAGTTTTTCATCCTTTGTTTCAAAAAATCTTATCATATGTTAATGAGGTTTTGAAACTTGTATTTCTAAGTGCATATAAATTTGTTTAATCTCTTGAGAAGCCAATTTTTTACTAATGCATTAAAAGATACAAACTTTTCATCCTGTTAATTCTACCTCAGAGAATTTTCTCCAATGAGATCCTTCAGCAAATTTTTATCAAGCCATTAGCATATTCTAAGAACCATAAATATTAAAAAATAAAGTTGAAAAACAGACCAGGTTGTAGATTGCTATATAAATACAAGCCTAAGAATCTGAGATGTATTACAAAAATGATAGGTGCTTTTGGAGAACAACAAAGAATAGCAAAATCAGAGTTGCATATATAGTTGGTTTTGTGGAGGTTCGACAAGAGGTCCACTTTTAAGCATAAGGAAATGTGTTAGAAGAGTAGCGAAGTAGTTCAGGCAAGTGATTTAGAGTGCCTAGATCACACAGATGAAAGAGAATCAAGATAGCTTTAATAGACTTGGCAAGAAAAGAGATTGTATGATGCATAGTTACTTGTGATGGCAATATATTTTAAACAACCTAATTGGAGAAAGGCTAAATTTGACGATAGATATTAATAGTATTTTTTGTTTTGTTAATATTAAATATATTTTTAAAATCTTTCCTCTTAAACAGATGTTTAAAAGCATTTCTTGTGGAAATACCCTGCATTTATGGTACAGCTTGGAAAAATCAAACGTTAACTATTTAATATTTTTTAAATTGAATTATGAAAAGATGCAAAGGCAACAGCATTCTTTATAATTCATCAGGCAAGAATTGTTTTATATTTATTATATATAGTCATTTTTATTAAATTTTAAACTATATAGTTGTCAAAACATGAACATTACTTTGTGATTTTCATTATCCTCTTGTGATGAAATTTCAAGCATGTTAAACAGAATTGTCTCCATCTGTAGCTTAGTCCCCTATACCTCTCACCTGACCCAGAGCAACTTGTCTTTGACACTTCCATTGTGTTTCCCTGTGTTCCCTGAATGAAGTCATATTTTCCTTTACTGCTGAAGTATGACTTTTGTAGCTAACAATTTGTTGACATCTAGCACCTAATAAAGAGGACTATATTTGAGAAAAATAAGATATCTATAGCTATTTCTGTGCTAGCCAGGAACCAGATTTCCTTCCTTTTTTGTCTCATTCTTATAAATTGATCAAAAGAAAACTTTCAGTAAAAAAAAAAAATCATGTATGTAAGTGTGTTTGGGTGTTTGTCTGAGGTAGTACAAAATTCTATTAAAAAGTGAAAGGGCTAAAGGAGAAGGGGAAGGGTAGAGGAAAGGAAATAAAGGACAAGAAAAAATATGAGAAAAAGAAAAAATGGAAACAAAGTCTTTGTAAATAGGGGAGGGTGGAGTGGGTAAGGAAGGGCAGAGGTATGGGGGAAAATGAGAACCAAGATCTCATGTAAAGGTACAAGATCCCAATGATTAATGTAACTGTACTGTATAAAATGTACCAATAATCTCAATAATTACAAACAGTGAAAGTGAAATGACTTCTGTCCTATGGTAGAAAGAGCAATATGTAGTTGAAACAAATAAACTTCCATTAGCAAAAATTCAAACAGCCAAAAATATATAATAGAGTTTCTTTTTAATATTGATGTCAAAGTACCATAGGATCCTGACATTAACATTTTGAGTTAACAAATCAGCATAACTTGTTGAATATATTTCTTGTAGTCTATATTACCATTAAAAACCAATTTATAACATTAATTAAATGGATCTCTTAAAGAGAAGTTTAGGCCTTAGTTTTTGGGAAAAAAATTTTAAACAGCTTTTTATTCTTAAAAAAAAAATGACCATGTTTTCGGATCTAATTTCAGTGTGACTTCACATGCATCTACTTCCAGTGATGAGGCACTAAATAATTGAGTGATACTTCAGTGGCCATTTTTAAAATTCAAAATTGTGGAAAAGTAGAGCAGTACTGTGGCAAATTTGATTAATTATATATAATAAATTTCAAATGAATGGATGAGGAGGATAAACAGAATATTACATTTTCTCTAGAAAACTTTGGGATAAACAGATAACTATGCACAGTTGATTGTTTTTTTTTTCATAATCTGGCTTTAAATCACTAATAGCTATATTCCCAAACATTCCAATTATATTTCTAGTTGATTTTTTAATATTTAAGTGACTTTTATAAATGATCTGTTGAAACATTTAATTTATCTACTTTTTCATAGTGAAATATAACCTTCTTTCATTTTTTATATTCTTATCTCTGAAGCCCCTTGTTAGTAAATATTCAGATATCTGTGCAATGAATAAAGGTATGCAGTCTCCTGGTTTGGGCTCATAGTTTCTAAAAATAATTTATTTTCCCCCAAAGAAAGTGAGATATCTTAAATTCTAAAACCAAGTCATAATTTTCATATGAAACCTCTTCTGGTCATATACAACTGTGTATGCATACTAATTTTTCAACAAAACATTTTATCATTTGCGCAAAGCTATAAGTTTTAGTCCTGACACCCACTAAAGACATAACTGTTGTTCTTAACTTAATGCTATCTTTAGAGATATGAAAATCCATCTAGAAAAAAATTTAGAAGAAGAACGCCAAATATTACTGCAGCAACAAAAAATGTGTCGAAATCGAGCACGTAAATATTTTGTGGAATCAAACCGGAGAAAAAAGTAAGTAGCTATATTTTGTTCATCAGTGTAAAAATTGCAAGTCAATATAAGTTAATAGCTTCTCTACTTTTATAGCATTTTATGAACATAAGTCATCACATGATATTTTATCTATGAAACACTGATAAAGATTCTCATAGCATTGGAAATTTTATTATTGTTTTCTGCCTAAAGCATAAAGTTGGTGGTATATTTTCTAGTTCACTGATTTATGACTATAGCAATCTTTTCTTATAGAACTTAAAGTGACTATAAAATGTATTATCTTCTTTGTTTTTACTTCATTAGTAGCATAATGTAATTTGATTTTATTATTAAACTTACATAAGTTTTCTATATTGCCACCCTCTTTCACTCAATTACAAAAATAGGGAGAAATAGGAATCATGGCAGAAATGGGATAAATACAATTTTATAAGTGACTGCCCTCAGTAAAGCTTTAAAATAAAGTGAAAATACAAACTATCCAATTACTGCTTAGCATTGTTTAGGATTTTTTTAAATTGTTAGTTTTTTTAAGGCAGCAGTTATGCAATTTGTTATTGTTGTCTTTGCTACTATATCCATATTTCTATCTTACATGAATAGCAGAAAAATCCCAAGAGTTTATTAACTACATTGGGCATATGCTGCAAATCCCATTTGGGGAATACAAAAATTTTTACTGGTAATTTTTTTTCTGACATTACATTTCTTTTTAGATTAACCTTTTCTTTGTCCAAAAATAGTAGAAATTATTTAATACAGCTTATTTTTCTTTTAATTTTGTGTGTATATGTTTCTGCTTTTACTATCTTTTAAATCCTAAAGCTTGTAAACGGCACATGACAGGTATTCAATAGAACTGATTATAGATTTTTAAGTTTATATTGACCACTTGAATTGTGATCATGAAATTTCTTTAAGTATTTTTTTCTTCAGGTACAGACAGTTTCCTTCTGCTATTTTTCAGTTGTATTTTGACAGTGTCAATATGCGTTCCCAGCAGTAGTCAGAGGAAAATGTTCCTAGCTTCAAATGTTTTATTTCCATTAATTGCTTAAAAATCACACATTTATTTTCTTCTTATTTACTGCTTTCTTGAACAACTGTTAGCCAGTATTTTCTTGCATTGTATGTTTTTTAATCACATTTTCAACTTTTCTGTTCTCTCAGTATCTATACTGTTTCCCTCCAGACAAGATATCATTTTATCTTCTTTCTCCAAGAGTTACTGGTTATTTGGGGGCCTGTTGTATAACTGGCATCCTGGTACTTTGTTTTATTGCTCTTGGGAGTTTGAGCCATGATTTCTCTTCTATAGTGTCTCTTTGTTCCTTTTAATATTGTTAATATACTAGGGTACATCCTAACAGAACTTTCTAATATTTTGTAGACCAGGCAATTTTAAGTACACATACACACACACACACACACACACACACAGAGGGAATAAGCTTTATTTTTTTCCTACACTGTTTTCAGTCCACTAGTCAGAATTACCTTCAGATAAATAAGTGACTGGGAATTTATTCATTCAACATGCATACCTAATTGAGTACCAGTGAGGCAACATTATGCTGTAAGAATTTGTTTATTCTTTCACACTTATGGAAATAGCAATAATCTGATTTAGTAACCACATGAAGAATAAAAATTGAAACATTTTTAAGGAGATGAAAAAGAGACTTCAAATAACTTTAGAACACTACAATTAAGCATATAGACTTAAAAGTTCAGATGATGTGACAAAAGACCTACATAACCAATTGGCAAAAAAAGAAAAACAAAGACCAAATTAGAAAAATTACCCAAAGAGAAATAAAGATTGCCAATTAACAGATAAAGGGCAAACACCTTGAAGGAATCACTAAAATTTACTATAAAAAAGTATTAAATATTCTTGGAGCAGAAATAACTATCTAGAGAATCAGTGAAATTAATTATAGTATGAACATGAAGCATGGAATTTGTGAGCTTGATGGAGTTTGGAATTTAACATAAAGAATGAAAAAAATTAGATTAGATTAAAAAGGAATTATGCTTTAAACAATAAATTATATGTATTGAACTTCTATATATCAATATATAGTATAGCTAAAAAAATAGATTCAAACAAGTTTAAATATCAATAGGTTTAAGCCAGGCATTGTGATTCACGCCTGTAATCCCAGCACTCTGGAGGCTGAGGCAGGAGGATCACTGTGAGTTCAAGACCAGCCTGGGCTACATAGTGAGTTCCAGGTCAACCTCAACTACATAGTGAGACCCTGTCTCAAAAATACAAATAAATATATATATATCAATAGGTTTAAATATTTGCAGATAATACACCCATACAATATTAAAATTAGGATATTTAAAAGTTATCTTTGACCTTTTAAAATGTTGTCAAAGATAATGATCATTTATTGACTCAAATAACATTTACTAGGAAACTCCAAGCTTTCATTTCTAGAAGATGAAAAAGTGAATGGCATAATTTTCTGGCCTCAGATAAATAATAAGAGGATGGCAGTCCTATCCAACAAATCCTATGATAGAGTCACCTATGAGGCACTATGAAAGAACATTAATAAACTTCAGAACAAAGAAAAATTCCTTGAAAAGTAGTTTTATTAATTAGCTATGAGCTAGCCAGGGGACATGAAGAGGAAACATGTTTGATTGATTAAGTAAATTTGATAGGAGTCAGGATTAATTATATAGATGGTACATGAAAAAAACACTTAGAAATGGAATAGTTATAGATTATAAAATATTTTAACATTATAAATATTTCTAAAATATGTACATGTGGTGCTCTTTTATGCAGATTATAATATGAGTTTTGATCTTTTACTCATTCCCTAGAATCATTATTGTGAGCATTAGATATTCTATTCTGTTATTGTATTGCTATATTATAATATGTATATATATTATAAAGCCTATTAGGCTTTATTTAGTCTACAATAAGTAGCTTCGGACCAGTTATATTGTAAAATTCTTTTCAACATTTTCAATCATCTCTTACTGTTACCCATAATTTTTTAAATAAAATTAAATTCTTATTTTGAGATAATTGTAAATTCATAGGCAGTTGCAAAAACTATACTGAGAGATTGCGTATACGCTTTACCCAGTTTTCCCCAGTGGTGATATCTTGCATGATTATAGTACAGTATCCCAATCAAGATTATAAAATGCATATGTCCAAGATACAGAATATTTCCATCACCCCAAGGATCCCTCATAGTGCCCTTTCCTGGCCACATTCTTCTCTCTCTCATTCTCAATCCCTTGAAATCACTAATCATTTGTTCTCCATTTCTACAACTGTTTTTCATTTCCAGAATGTTATATAAATGGCGCCATACCATATATAACATTTGGGGATTTCCTTTTTTCCATAACACAATTCTCTGAGACTTATTTAGATTCTTATATGAATAAGTTTTAAGACTATTATTTCATGACATAGATGCACCAGAGTTTGTTTAAAACATTAACCCACTGAAGAATATCTGAGTTATTTCCCATTTGGAGCTGATATGAAATAAATTCACTATAAACATTTCTTTACAGGTTTTTGTATGAACATTTTTTTATTTCTCTAGGATAATAACCAGGAGTACAACTACTAGGTCAGATACAGAGTAGTTGTACATTTAGTATTTTAAGCAACTGCCAACTGTTTTTCAGAATAACTGATCAAACCTGCAACAATGTAAGAGTAATATAGTTTTTCTATATTCTCACTAACATTTGGTGCTATGAACAATATTTTATTTTAGCTGTTGTGACAAATACATAGTGGCTTTATCTTACATTTTCCTAATGATTAAAGATGCTGAGTAATATCTTTCATGTGCTTATTTGCCATCTGTCTCTCAGCTTTAGTAAAACTTCTCTTCATATCTTTTATCCATTTCTAAATGGATTATTTGCTCTTTTGTTGAGTATTGAAGTTCTACATATATTCTAGATACTAGTCCTTTATCAGATATATCATATATAAATACTTTCTCCCACCTGAGAGGTTGTCTTTCCATCTTCTTAATATGGAGTCTTTGCCAAAGGAAAAGTTCTGAATTTTAACAAAGTCCAGTTTACCAATTTTTCCTTTTATGGACTGTGCTTTTAGTGTCAAAACCAAGTATTCTTTACTCAGTCCTAGATCCTGAAGTTTTTCTCCTTTGTTCTGTCCTAAAAGTTTCATCATTTTATGTTTCACAGTTAATTCTGTGATCTATTTCAAATTAATTTTTATATAAAATGTAAGGTGTAAATCCAGGTTTTAGAATTTTGGTTGTTGTGGGATTTTGGAGGGTTTGGTTTGGATTGGGGTGGGTGTTTTGTGGGAGCTGGGGTTTGCCTGTGAATGTCCAATTTTTCAACTTTATTTATTGAAAAGCCTATCTTTCCTCCATGAATTACTTTTACACCCTGTCAAAAATCAACTTGTCCATCTCTGACTCTCTTTCTCATTCTGTTTTCTATCTACTCCTCCACTAACACTAAGAAATTTTGACTATTGTAGCTATATAACAAGTCTTCAAATTTTGTGAATTGATTCCCTACTTTATTATTTTTCAAAATTACTTTAGGTGTCCTAATTGTTTTTCCTTTATATATAAAATTTAGAATAACCTCATCTAAACCTGAAAAAATATTGTTGGGATTTTGAAAAGAACTGTGAGATGGAGAGAATTGATATCTTTACTGTGTTAATTCATCTAATCAAACTATTGAGGTTTTATTTCAGTTTTTAGATTTTTCAATTTTAAATTTTCTATTTGATTCTTCTTAATAATAATTTCTTATATAATCTACATATTTTCTGTAGCTTTTTATTTTTCCATTCACAAACATTTTTGTAGTTGCTCATTAAAACATTTTTATCATCACTGCTTTATAATCTTTGTCAGATAATTCCCACTTTCTGCCATCTGTTGCTGGCATTTATTGATTTTTTTTCATTCACTTTGAAATCTTCCTGGTTCTTGGAATGACAAACAATTTTTAATTGAAACTGAATC